GTAGTATTTTTTATTTTCAAATTTAGTGGATAACAATTGTAAAAAATGAGTGAAAACAATCCAACGGACAATGCGACGGATTTAAGGTTATGTCAAGGTACGTATTTTGTGAATATCAATTGATTGTTAGGTTTTCTCTTCTCTAATTGCCATTTCGAATGCAGCCATGAGGGATATTAAATTATTTATTGCAAAATCGTTTTTGCCACTATCCATTGCAGATCCACAAGCTCTGGCAGACGTTACTGGTGAAGAAATTAATTATTGTGAGATGGTCTGTGATCCTTGCAGGAGATTTTAATGTGAATTTCTCGTTACCTGAAGCTGAAACATTATTGACCTTCCTTAAAGACAAATTTGGATTGGAAATGATAAATGGTAGGAATGATCCAACAACCAAAGGGGTAACTACCATTGATGCAGTTTTTGCAAGAAATATTGAAGAAATAGAACTCAAACATTTCGTATCTTACTTTAGTTATCATAATCCCATTGTAAATGTTATAGATTTGGATATTTCTCCACTCGAAAATGATAATTAAAAGATGCGATCAATTGTGAATTGTAAGCATTGTTAATAAAGTTTATCTTAAAGAAACAATATGATTTCACTAAAAATCAATTTTCTACCCCTTCCTATTTTCATTTCCACATTACGAAGTTTTACTTCTTCCGCGCGGAGGGACTCCACGCACTATTTTTTTTTACTTGTTTTCCTTCCTGTTATCAAAATTACTTGTTTGTTAGACAACAACACCTAGCATTATGCGCTTGATAGCTTTTTTTATAGTGATGCTCATACTTATTCTCATTCTATGTTTAAACTTGTAATATATATATATAACCTTCCTTATTGAGAAGTATTCAGTTAAACTATTTATTAACTGAGCAGTTTATCGAGAATGAACAGTTACGAATAAATGCGTCATCAACACACATTCCAGCTGCATTTCAAGTTATATCGGATGCTAGTGGAATAAATCTATTTTCAGTTAATTGATCTAAGTAATTTCTAATATGAGAATTTAAATTTAGTGTATCAAAATTAATGTCATAAATTATTAGCACATATTTACGATTCGAATGATTCAAAATAACACTGAATTTTAAAATAAATAAATCGATAGTGTATTTTGCTTTTCGTTTTTAAATTCCAATATCCAACAACCGCTGCCCTTAAATTTGTCACGCTTTTGTTCAAAGATTTTTAAATTTCTCATATATCTAGTTCTTCGTTTGTTAAAAGTTTAAATATTTTCATATTCTAATTTTAAGTAATTTAAAAAAAGTTATTATCGAGTTATGATATTGTACAATGCATACTTTTAACAGCGAAACAGCTTAATCAAATTATTAAAACTGTTAAAATTAATTTTAACGTTCCCCCCCCCCCGAATTCCTGGCTCCTATAGTGGAACAAAATGGATCAGAACATGTAATTTTTGAACTCTTATCGAATTTTAATTCCTTTATTTTCATTAATTTAAAATTTAATTGCTCAATATAAAAAGGCTAAATTACAAGTTGTTCAAGATAAAAGAAGTTTTGAATTATCATATGTTTAATTCATTTCTCTGTTGAATAATTGGTATTTTTAACTCCGAAATTTCCACTTAGAAAGATTTTTATAGGTAATTGTTTTAAAAGTGAGCAAATATGAGCATTTTTCAGTTCCTTATTTTATTTTATAACCGTCGTTGAACAGCCTACCCTACATTGGGTTTACGACTACTAATGTTCAACTCCATAGCTTGTAACTTTGAACCCAATCCAGAAGACAAGGGAAGTCCTAGATCAAGTTTTGAGAGAAATTCGTCTTCGTGGAGGTCTTTTTGGTGGAACTAATCCTCATTTGCGTGACATGGAGAGGAAAACCACAAAAACGTCCCCCTGGTTAGCTTGACGGCAGGGAGACTGTAACCCATGATCTGTCTATCACTGAGAGATATTTTAAGTCAGCACAGGTCGAGCCGGATTCAGAATGTGGAATATTTGAAATTACTTGAATCTAAATTATACATTTTACTCTAAAAATACTCAAAATAAATTAATAAGTTCTATGTTTTAATAATGACAACAAAGCAAAGTTAGGTGATAAAAATAAATATGTATTCTGATTGCTTTTTTGTTAGATTGCACCTGAATGTAAGAGCGAACAAGGCACCATAAATTTCCGGATTAAAATTTATTAAAATACGGAATTAAGACAAATCACTGAAAATAAATAAGAATTATTGTAAAATTATTACTACTTACCTGTGTAAAATCTCCGAGGAAGAATCCAGTAGACATTCCAGTATTTAAAGTGCATAGTATCAAAAGTGCTGAATCGATATTCTTTGAAAATTCATAAGTAGCTAATAATCGTTGCAACGAAAAACGTATATTTGTTCTCTTAGCGTCTAAGTTGTCTAGAAGGAAGAATACGAATATAAATGAAATGACAGCCAGCAAAGTACAAACAGAAAAGTATATATATCTTTTTTCATCCTCCAAATCTGCTAGTGTTTCATTTATGCATATCAGTCCTCCTTGGCAAAACTTGGTACCGCAATTGCAAGTAAAATTGTAGCTATCGTCAATAAAATCATATCCCCCAATAATGAAGAATGATATCAAGTTGCTCCAAAAAATGGTAGATAGAAACGCCATGCCAAAAATACCAAATACTCGAGAAGTAATAGCTTCTATATATATTTTTTTACATGCTAAAGCTAAATCTGGATCCTTCTTAGCGTCGACATTCTTAATATCTTTTGTATTGGTATCGTGAATGTTATCATCAGAGCTATCTTTCAATTCCATTTCCTTAAAAGTAACATTCACATCACTCTTTGCTTTCTTTTTTTCATCGAAATCTAAGCTTTGTTCGAAAGTTGATATCTCTGCAGCCTGCCTATTTTCATCTAAAGATTGCCTTTGTGTAAAAGAATATCTCTGGTCTTTGTGAACAGAATTTATTTTCATTATGGGTATTGCACTGGAACGGCGAGCTGTCAACTGCTCTTCGTTGGTAAAAGAATTCCTCCGCAGAGATAGGGTAAGCGCACTTTGTCGTCTAATATTGGCTACGTTAACGTCAGAATACGTTCTTTTACGACCAGTTATATACACAAAAGCCGCTGGCAATGCGCAGTCGTTCTCACTACACGCATCATCGTCTTCAATATCGTCTGCTAATACTCCGATTATTGAATCAAAATTTGGCAACAGCTTAGGTAATTCTTTTTCCAAGTCTTCCTCAGAATACATGCATTCTGCCAACATTATGGATAGATCATTTAAATAAGTTGCCGATGAACTCCATAACAAGGAGACACCAATGCCGTTTAGAATTGATGTTGGTATCAATACTTCCCAGTGTGGGTAAAAGTTTGCTAAAATGTATGGTATGTACAATATTATGGACACAGAAAATATGGTTTTGCTACCAAATCTCTTTATGAAATATTCTGGTATAAGGAGAGAACATATTGAGGTAACTGCTAATATTATGGCCTGTGAGGCAACTCCAATTCCTTCCTGTTTGTTAATTGTGCTTTGTAAAAATTGAACTCCAGTGTATGATAGAAATAATATGAAAACACCAATGCAAACAACTATGATGTTTTTGACCATTCGGAATTTGCTCATTTTGATTTTCGAGGAATTTGACTTCATCGTTGTAGGTTCTGTTCTTTCAACAACTTCATAAACCATTGTGGAAGATCTGGGGTGTTGCCTTTTCACTAAGAATATCACCTAAAATAAAAAGTAATGATTTTAATCAGGGTTGATGAAGCTTCTCGCATTAATTTCTGAAAATATATTAAGTCACGCAATGGATTATGTCAAGAAAGCGTAACTTTTCAGTGATTTCTTTCCAGATTTGGCGGCAAGAAGTTCCTCTTGATATATGCTCAAAGATTATGACTAATGTAATTCGAAATTTCCATTAATTGCGAAATATAATTGAAAAAGATTCCAAGTGACGACTTTTTCTCTCTCATTTTATTACCGACGTTGAATAGCCTCAGTAGTCTTATAAATTTGAACCCAGCCCAGAAGACACGAGAAATTCCGAATCAAGCATTGGGATAAACTAGACTTCGTACAGGACTTTTGAACCCAAAATCACGTCACCGTTAGCTTGAAAGTAAGGGAGTTCTGACCCATGGTCCTCCTACATGAAGTTGTAACTTAATTAATTTTATACTGAAGCTAATAAAATATCTATGAACCTTTGTTGTTTCCTAACAGCTATATCAAACGGTGCTTCTGTTTGCTTAAAAAAAGCACACCGGACAAAAAATTAGTCACCCTTAGAGAAATCATGAAAAACATCATTCAACAACGTGTAACGCAGTCTCTGGATTTGATATTTGCCTATATTTGGTTCGAAAGTGAGTCCACAAGATTTTGCAGGTGCATCGAATCCAGTGTAAGCCACGCACTGAGGATTTGATTGCACAAATCCACCAATTAGCGAGGATGCTGATTTCGGCGTTTTACCCGTTGTTCCAACATGTACCACAAATTTTTAATGGAGTTCAAGTCAGGTGATTTTGCATGCCAGTCGAGATGTAATTGAGTGCCTAAGTGTTCATAAAGCCAGTCACATATTCTTCCAGCCCGATGAACTTTGCTGTTGTCATCTTGAAAAATAGGAATATCGACAACATACTCTTCATGAAGATGTTGACTGAAAGGCTACACCTGATCATCTAGAATGTTAAAAAAACATGTTGGTTCATGTTAGAGGCCACCTCAGTGAGGAGGCCCAATCCATAATAAGAAAAACATCCCCAAAACATGACAAACCTACTTCCGGCTTGAACCTGACCTTACACACAGTCAGGATGAAATGCTTCACCTGATCTTCGGTACACTCGACGACGTGCGTCATTTGAATAAAGGCAAAAATGAGATTCTTCAGACCATATTACATTCCGTCAGTCCGCAGCTGCCCACGTTCTCTGATCTCTAGCCCACTACAGCCGCACAGCTTTATGCGTCTGTGTGAGGAATGGCCTCTTACGAGGTGTTCGACTCCAAATGTTCATTGCATGCAGCTCCCGTTGCAATGTTCCCTCACTAACAGGTTGGGACGGACCTGCATTTACTAACTGACGCAATTCCTGTCGGGTTTGGTAGCGACTTTGATTGACAACTCGTGAAACGCGTCTCCGATCCGTTTCATGCAGGATCTTTTTCCGACCACAATTCTGACGTCGTCTTTCGTGACCACGTATATTATACCACTGCTTGTAGAAATGTTAAACAGCCCGCATCGAAACACCAACAAATCCAACAACTTCATTCACCGTATGACCATGGGCACGGCCAAACACAACTGCCCCTTTTTGCCACTCTATCATATCCTTACACTTACCCATATTTACACACAATTTCCGCTTCAAACAAAAATATCTCAGTGATATCGACTTGCATTTGATCACGTTGAAGCAGTGCGTACACAGTTGAGCACGTCACTTGACCACTGCGTCATCTAACGAAACTTAACGATTCATCGGTGCTTGTTCACTAGGGTGACTAATTTTTGTCCGGTGAGCTTACATGAAATGTAAGAAGACAATTATCTTTTTTAATATTTATAGAAACACGTGACTAAAGCATAAATAAGATGGCTACTTACTTAATATTCTAAAGGCATAAATAGATGCTCCTCTGAACTCTAAAAGAATTTCTTAAGGTAGATAGCGAGAAAAGTTAACATCTCTTAGTACATATGGCAGTATAGAATGTGATACCGAATGCATAATATTAAATGAAGCTGCAAAAAATTACATTTCATAAATATCTATGTATTTTAAAAAACTAACAGTTAAAATTATTACGCATATTACATTAAAGAAATTCAAAGGTAAAGATACTTTTAGCTTAATTGAAAAAGATTAGTATTTATGTATATGTTGAACAATTTTATCACCAGTTTTGCTCATTTAATAGATAGGGTCAAGCACTTAAATTCATTCTGGAGCATATTTTTATTATTTATAATGTCAGAGGAGATTGACGTAGGTTTAAAATAGCACAACTCAAGAGAACAAGGATATAAAAATTTAAAAGAGACTCATTCTACACCTTGCTTCCCAGTATCGGTCAGCGATATTTGCTCCACTGAGAGCACTGCAAAAGAGAAAATGGTGGCCATGAATTACAAAGTGGCCTCGACATATAGAGCAATATGGATCGGAAGCCAGCTTGAATCTGTGTAAGTACGCGACAAGAGAGTCCTGTTCTATAAAAAGCCGGGACTGAGCAAAGACCTCGTGGCGCGGCCATTCGGGAATGCTATTTATCTCAAAATCCTTCCACTTTTTGTTAGAATTCCTTTCCCTTCCTTAGAATCTCTTTTCCTTTTATTAGAATATTTTTCTTTTTCTTTCCTTCATTTAGATAGCAATAAACAAATTTTTTAAATAAACAGGAGGCTTTAATAAATAAATTATCGAATTGGGACTGTTCAAATATTAGGTTTGAACACGGTAGATAATTCTTTAAGCCAATAGCTAGCACCATTTACATAAATCCAGATATTTCTGCTACTCAAATGCAACAAAGTGAAGAATTTCTATACTGTAATTGTTGTTGTCTTATGTCACTTGTCAATACTGAAAAATCTATTTTAAGGCAAAGGAGTGCGCTTCTTCTTGTTTGAAATTTTTTACTAAATGTGTGGTAATGAAAAACATAATTTTGAAAAACAGAATTTCCGGAAAACCAAGTATGAACTATATGAATTATATAAACAATATGAATTCTATATGAAAAGGAAGTTACCAAATGAATTGTTTAAATACCATATATCTGGGTTTTTAGTATCAGAAATAAATGAATGATGGCTTTTTTTATACCAGAAATTTCATTACAGTACAGTACAACTGTTTAGCAATTTAACTGGAATTCATACTTGATTTACTTTTCTCCATGCGTATAGGAAAGTTGAACTCGTTTTGCTCATTTTTGAATTTATGATACGAATACATGACGGTTAGTGTGAGGTATATATATA